CTCGTACTTGAGTTCACACGGTCAAGTGTACCCCATTTTGCGTGCTTGCATGAATCATGAAACTTGCATTTTTTTTCTCTCATCCTTGTTTCCCTTTTTGTTCTCAGCGTGCCTTCGCCATTTCTTCCGTTTGTCTTTGAACCATCCTCGCCGGATCGGGGCTCCGGCTGGCGAGGGGGGGTGTTAGCGTCAAATCCGTGCTTCCACGCATTTGAACACTCCCACTGCTTTCGCACACACTCAGCATCGGTCGCTATGGGTCTTCCTATTGGTATTCCATAGCTACGACGACCTCACACATTGACACCTACTTTTGGACCCCCTGGGCTTGATCCTCCTCGTGGCAGTCACATGAGTAAACACCGCGTGTGACGCGGTCCCCACGATGCCTGGGCAGCTGCCCTGGGGCAATAAGCTTGTGGCTACTGTTGTTTTTTTTTTTTTTTCTGACATCTTGGCGTGAACCACGTTGTCAGACAAAATCTGCAACCCCGCTCTTTGCGGCCCGCGTTTTGGCGGCGCCGTCGCTCCCACCGTGTCCGCTCGCTTGCTCGCTTGCTTGCCCCGCGGACATGGCCACTGAGTCCGGCGGCGAGGATTCTTGGACCCAGGTCCGCGGTGCTAAACGCCCGAGTGCCGAGTCACCTCCAAGCAACACCACCACCTCGCCTTCCCAAACTCGTCGTTCTGCAAAACACACAAAACATGGCAGCGCTCGCCACGACCGTAACCATGTTTTCCCTGACCCCATGACCACCCCGCTTCGCCCTCACGCCCGCCACTCTGTCCCTACCGCCCGTGCCTCGTCTCATGTGCCCTCGACGTCCCCCGCTGCCGGTGCGACCGAGTCTTCGGCACGTGCCGTCGTGCCCGCGGCCGAGCCAGTGACCAAGACGTCAAACGGCGGCGGGGAGCAACATTCCATCATCGGAAACACTTCCAATGCTTCTCCCCGCACCCCTCGCACGCCATCCAGCCCTCGCTCCTTTGCTCAAGTTGCTGCGGCAATGCCTGCCGCCGCCACTGCCACATCTTCGGCCCCTATGACCGAGGATTTGTCAGCATCGGTGCCCTCTGAGCCAAATGGCAGCGGGGAGCAACAACCCTCGCCCGAGTCCACAGGGCAGACACATCATTCGATTCCTAACACACCATCGGATTTTTTGACCATGTCTTCGGATGAAAGCGACTCCCCTCCTCGCTCCACCGCACTCCGCGCGCCCACCCCTATCGCCCCTCCCGCGCATGATGGTGACGGTGACACAAACGGCAGTGCCACGCCAGAGCCATTGGTGCAATCACCTACACCCGCTCAAATGGTGCTGCCATATCCATCGGGTACACAACAAACCCATTCCGATCCCTCTCCGCCCTCTGCTTCACCCCCTGCCACTACCATTTTGCCCGCTGCCATTTCACATCCTGTCGAACACAGTGAGCATGCAAACTCAGCCCCACTTGGCGAAGTCAGTGAAAGTGAAACACACAATACAGCGGGCGAACACAGTGAGAGTGAGCAAGATGTTCTTCTCAGCGATCCCGCTCCGCCCATCGCTGCCAACGTGCTGGATGCCCAGCGCAAGGTCCTG